TGGGGTCGTCTCCTAGCTCTCAAAGTCAAAAAGTACAGAATAAAATGATTTTGGGGTTTATTTTCGACTTAAGTCGCGACTGTCCTGCCACAGCGGGACCTAACCCGCCACAACGGCCCCGCCTTGGCAGAAATAATCTCGCCACAACGGCTTGCATGGAACCAGTAAGTCGATTTAAGAGTTTCAAACCCCCATTTCACAACACACCTTCATCCCATGACACTCCAAAAATACTCATTCACGCTAAGATCAGTTTCGGGAGTTCTACTCACCCAAATTCAATTTCGTAAAGTTGTACGGGTTCCTTAACGTCTTAACTATCTAGTCATGTGATTAAAAATTATAATTAGATCTCTTATTTGTTACCAGATTTCCCTAGACCTCACTGACTCCGATTTCGTCCAAATCTGAACTATGCTAGGAAATTCCAAGTTACTACTCAAAAGTTTTTCTGGTCCAATTCTTTTCCCCTTGGCTTTTCCCTAACGATGGAATCAAGTCGTTACAATAAATAAGCTTTAGCCTTAGCTTACCAAAATTCTTCATTGAATCTTATGTCCAGCTTTGTATGGCTTAGGAATTTTGTTTTACTCAATGGCCAAAACTACATCTATGATTAGTCAGCCAAGTATTTGTAATAAAGTAACCTCTTAATTCATAACAAACGAATCTCATTCACAGTGTCACAACCTTTACATCTTAGCTAAATTCTTCTTCTCGGTGTCACTTTGTTTCGTTCCTTCACCCCTCTTATTTCCATGACTTGTAGTAGTAGTGATTTTGCACATTATGATAATTAACTAAGAGACGAGAGAGAACAATATAGAAGACAAAATGAAAATATAATATTTGTTGAGTATGTGCAAAGAAGGAAAAAAGATCATCTCCAATCAGCTTTTTATTGAGAAGTGAATCGAGAAAATTATTTCTCAGTAGGTTCTGTAAAACAAGTAACAAACCTCTTCTCTTCCCCAAGCTGACGCACAAGACACTCGAATTCTTCCTAATCTTACTCAATACGTTCATTCTCATTCGAGTAAAATCTTAGTTAATTGCATAATCTTTTCATAAATAGTTTCAATGTATTTTTAAATACACACTTAACAAATAGCTAACATAAATATGTCATACCGTGTTTGTACTAAAATATATACGCTTTCCTCTAATATGATTATAAAGAAAGGATCTTGATGGTTACACTTACATATTTGCTAATCTTTAAATTATATTATTGTTTGCCTTTTCTCTAAATGCTTCACAAACAATTCTCCTTGTAAACATCTGCGGGTATAAAGAAAACTTACATTCTATAGCTGATGGATTTCAAAAAAGCGACTGATTGTTCATATGCAGAAAAAAGAAATGTTGCTATGCAACTCAAACGACACAATACATATAGCTAGGTGTCTGTTCACAAAAAGGAGGCGTTGCTACTATGTCGTCCTCAACAAATATATACTACAACACATAACTTTCTTGAAAATTTCACTATTGGCATCCTATTTCAGCCAACATCATCTTCGTAAGGGAGGGTTTTCCAAAACAGCTTCCACTTATCATCCGAGAACATCCAGCGCTTTCTGAGAAAAGTCTCCTCTTTTATTAACCTAATGCTACCAACGTGACTTTTGTAGAGCTATGTTACAAGTTCAAATTTTCTTTTACGAGGGTCTTTGTTATGTATTTGAATCAGATAACTAGAAAATTATATGGAGTGAGAATATGGTGTGAGGGAAATAATACAGACTCCATTTTGTTATGCTAGTATTGTAAGGCCAGGTTATTCTGAGCCATTGTTTAATAATGTACATAATAACCACTTTTTGCTAATATTTTCATTATTTATTTTTATTGTTCCTTAAATTCATATTGGACTCATGCTAAGCACAGGCTTTTCCCATCTAGTATATATGTATATATTGTATTAAATCATCTCTATGTTTTTCAAAAATATGATATTGGTGTGGGGCTGAGAGTTCTGACACAATTATGAAATTTCAAGAAAAATTACTTAAATAAAATAACTTCTAATTTTCTAAAATGCTTCTATTGTCAAAACTGCTCTAATTATTGTCATATGTATAAGTTTAATTTAAAATAATTTTAGATTTTTATCTAAAATAAATTATATATTCGTGTGGTGATAAATTATATTTATTTATTCAAAAAATTTATCTTTGTACAAGGCCAAGAGCTTTGGTGCACATATGAAATACCAAAAAAATAAGTACTTAACTAAAATAACTCTTAATTTTCTATAATGCCCTTATTATCAGAAGCTTCTCTAGTTACTGCCTTATATATAATCTAGTGAAGTTGAGCTAGAAATGAGAAAAATATGTATTTGAAACACTTAAACGAATTTGTCACGATTTTTACTTGTTTGGGGCTCTAAAGGAGCGGGTTACTGATTATACTTGAGAAAACATGAAACTTCAAAAGGAAGTACATTTTCTGAGTTTTTGTTCTAATGAAATAGTTGCTTTAAACTCATCAGTTTTACTTTCGAGGTCTGAATATTTCAAGGAAAAATACTAATTTTATAAGAATTGCGAACAAAATGAGGTTTACTTTTTACTAATAAGCTCGAGGAGGCACTCTGGGACGTCTCAAGGAACTATCCAGAGTTATATTTCTTGTATTTCAACAATTGTCAAGTCCGAGGGATCATTCTGGCTGGTTCGAGAGATTTTGCAAGACTTCTACTTTTATGCATCGACCACACATACATTGCATCATCTTGCATTATGTGTCTGATTGTGATTTACTTGTGTTGGATATCAAATGCTCTTTACTTTTTATTATCTGCATTGTCTGTAGTGACATGTATGTTGCTAGTTAGTTGTTGAATCATACTGTTAGTACTCTCCTAACTCTTTTATTTATATAACTTCTATTTGAGTTCGGCCGACCTATGATGCTTACTAAGTACTCTGTGTTTTGGTACTCATATTACATTTCTGCATTTTTTCTGATGCAACGCCTAGTATGAGCCACCCTTCTTGAGTTTGGATCTCTTGTGGCCGTCACTGATTTGAATTGTGGTGAACTCTTGGTGTACAGAGACTTACTTCTTTTTCCCTCTTTTGTACTATCTATGTATTTTGTATTTTGATTAGACATGTCTGATGTATATAGTCCTTTCTGTACTTAGACGCTCTTGTACCTAAGACACCAAGTCCGGATTGGTTCTTATGTATAATTTTTCCTTTCTTGGTCACTTTCAAGTGATTTCTGTATATTTTGTACCATTATGTATATATCTATACTACGATCTCACTTTTATACTTATATTGCTTCTGTGTAGTATTGTTTAGTGTATTATTACTTTCCGCTTTGGATTTTAGACTTACCTACTAGAGATATATGATAAGTGTCATCATGATCAGATTTCGAATCGTGACAATTCATTTAGTAGATGAATTTGAAAAAGAGTTACAGAAGAGACATCCATATTAATGCATTTATAAATTATTAGCAAAAAAGAAATTGGGGAAAACGGGTCCCACATTTCTAAAATGGAGAGTTGAAAGGGCAAATTTGTCTTTTTATTAGTGAAATAAGAATTGTGAGAGGCCCCACAACCCATACATTTTACCCACCTCCATTAGCACCAGTCCAGCAAGACTGCCTCTTCTTTGTCTTTCACCATCTCCATTCTTGACTTTCTTCTACTAAACTTTTTGATAACACCAAGAAAAAAGAAAAGAACAAAAAGACTAAAAGTTTCGATTTTTTTTCTTTCTTGTTTACTGCTTAAGCGCAAAGAGTTGCAGAGAAAGGCGAAAGAGAAGTGTAAGTAACGCAACCCCAATTTTTTTTTTACCTTTTTTGTACATGTTTATAGGTCTGAGATCGAAATCCCTCTTTTTTTCTCTGTAAATTGGTGGAAAATTTCAAACATTTTAGCTAAAACTGCAGGTAAGAGATGAATTTCCTTTCAGTATTGGAAGTCCAGAGGTTCAAATCGATGCTTTGACGAATACCCATTTGCTTATTTCACAGTGTAAAACTTGTTAAATGCTACTTTATAGATCAGTAACCTCGTCGATTTCACGTATCTTCGCTTGCATGGGGTCAGTAATTTGATTCTCTCTATATATCTTTTTTCTGTTTTCTTTTTAGTATAAAAAAGCATTCTGGTTTCCCCCTTTTGAGGTTGGTGGTTCTGTATTTTTTTAGACAATGAATGGTATAAAAAAACTGGAGCTCTCAGTCCCAATCTTGTTAGGGAGGTTTACCTAGTATATGTGCTTGTGCTTGTGGTTGTTGGCTGTAGCAGGTTGTCTGGTAGATTAGTTGAGGTAAATAAGTGACACTTTAAATGAAAAAGTTGCAAAGTTTGTTAATACTGCGTTTTGAATGCTTTTCTTGGTTTATTGGGCAACAATTGGCTTTTATTTGGTGTTTTGGAATCTGAGGAGCTTGCTTGAAGGCTAAGCAAGCAATAATGGGGAAGACAACGGAAGATGAGCTGGTGCTCCTTTTTCTGTTTCTGTTTTTTATTTCCTATGCTTTGCTTTTTATGTTGAGGGAGTTTGTTCCTAGAATGTTCTATTCTGTACGTAATTGTCTTGTTAGCTACAGTATCTAATGCTTTGCTTCTAGCCATGTATAATATATGTTGTTTAAAGATTGAAATTGAGGCATGTTTTCGGAGTATTCCTTTGTGCTCTGTTTTGGTATTTTTGGAGAATATTTTCGAGCTGTTGTTGGTATGGTGATGGAAAAGTTGAAGGAGACATGGAGGGCACTTCTTAATGTAAGAGTTTGTTTCTGTGCTATGTCCCAAATTTGGTGTACAGTAGATTGAGGATTCCCTTTCTATTTCTAGAAAGTTTCGATACCTTTTATCTTTTTGCTATAAGATGCTAATTATCTTCTTCTATGCGGTGACGTGATACTAAGATTACTTAGGCACCCAAAGGCTGAAAATGAATTGCATAAGTCACTGATCACCTTGGATAGGTTGTTATCAAAGAAATGTGCCTTTTGTGGACTATACTGCTATACAGCATGTGAGTCTAAGTAGCAATCCAAGCTACACTATTTCATGACGAAAGCTTATCTTTTGTAATGATTCATTGAAATAGATTTTAATAGCCTGTTGCAGTTTTAAGATAATGTCACGTTGGTTATCTCCTAGTGTTTCTGTTTTGATTGGAATGAGGACGATATGAGCAATTCAGGCAGTTATTTTACTGCTTTGTTTTCTACATTGGGTATTGGAGGAGTTGGTGCTTCTAGCAGAGGCCTCGGATATCAATTTTTTTAATGAAGAAAGCCCTGTTAGTACGTCTGGTTTTAGGTCCATCTTGTTTGTATTCAAGACCATAGCAGATGAGCTGATCCATTCCTGCACAATGCAATTAGAAATACTCAATAACTTATTATCAAAGCATCGGTGAACAAGAAATAAAACTGATGTAATGAATTTTGTGAAGAACATGTAAGATTTGAATAAAATATAAACTTGTGTCGATTTGATGTTTTTGTACTGTATTGCCAAGTGAAATTTGGAAGGTTGGTGACTATTGAACAAGTACAACTATGTGTCAATAACAAACTAGTTGGGGTTGGCTATAGGAATCCTCTATACCCACACTCCTTCAGTCTGGCCTATTCCTTTCAAGAATTCAATAATCTATCTTTTAGGAACCCCGAATTTGTTTCGAAAGACAAATTATCAGGTATTGGAATGGAAGGGCTCAGATGGAGCAAAATGGATATTGATGATTCATATGTAGATCTATGTACTCGTTTGGGATTGAAGTGTAATTGTTCTCAGCTCAACTTATATAGATCTTTTTCTTCCATTGTGCCATAATTTCTGGCTTTGTCTACTTCATTGTCTACCTCATTCTCTGTTAACACCTTCACTCTAGTTTCAAGCCGAGTGAAAAATTTAATGTTCTCTATTATGACCTTTTTTTCTCTTTAGTATATTTCTGACTTGTAAATGTAGTCATGTTTTGTGTATTTCTAAACGACATGGTGGGGAACACCCTAGACATTGAGAAGCTAGCTGAAAGTTGATTTTGAGTAGGCGGGGTTATCCTAGGCTAGATATATGGCCCATAAGAAACCCAACTTCCTCTTCAGATCCGTTTTTATCTCTTATTTATCAATTTTCTTCCATGCAATATGGGACAACTTTATTGGGGTCTCCGGTCTCCCATTCAATGATGCTAAGGGGAATAATGCCATCATTGATTTTGTTTAATTCCAAGAATGGGAGACTAAGGGTAAAGGATGAAGAAATTCAAATAGTTTTACTACTCTTGGGCGGAGTTCTGGTGATTTGCTTCCTGTTCTCTTGTATGACTATAAAAGAAGTAAAACATGTCCAATCCTTCCTGTCTAATTTCAAAGTGGTTGAAGAATCTAGAACTTTTTTCCCCTTATCAAAGAAGGGAAACAACTTATAATGTATCTGGTTTACTTATTGTCTCACCCTTCATTTCTTACCGCAACCAAACGCTTGAGGTAGCTAAACTGTATCATCTATGTAGCACTCCCTTGTGGCACAACTGATTCACTTCCAATACTTTGTCATCGCATCAAATGTGCTGTTAGACCAAATAACATGTGGCATTCGTGTATTTAAAGCAATGGATCTGATTATGGATTTGAACTGTCTAATGTCAGAAGGAAATCAAATTTCTTTAAGTACGAAGGAAATCCATGTTATACTCCATGGTTTGATCGTGCATTTAAAGCAATGGATCTGATTATGGATTTGGACCGTCTTAGGCCGAATGATAGTTTATGTGAGACTTGATAATTGTTTCACCTTGAGATTAAAAAAGAGTAAAATTTTGATAGCTATACACTTTGGGTTGTAGATTGACTTTCTTATCCCTTTTCAGTACCTGAATTTGAGAATTTTGACAATTCTAACTGGAGTATGACTTCATTGATTTTTGATATGTTTATGAGTGACTAGATTATGTCAACCAATGATCTGTACACTGTGAACTGCAATTCAACTTTCTCAAAGTTGCTTCAGCCAAATAAGAGTAGGCTTGTTATATAGAACTAGTTGATGGTTGTTTGGTATTACCAGTTATTACCTGGACTTAGCACTTAATATTGTACAGCGGTATATGGACTATTATGTAACAGATCTTACATTTCCCTGAATGAAAAGAGGGGAGCGTGGTGGGTGGGGTGAGCACTGGTAGTTATGAAGTGGATCTCAAATTTGGAATAGACATTGCTCTGGTAGTTTTTGCTTTCTATGTATCTTGTTGACAGCGTACAGGTTTTTTTTACTGATTATGCTAATCATCTTTTATGGTTGTAAACCTAATTGTAACAGAGCAGAAGTTGTCTTGGGTGCTGTGTAAAGCCACCACATGTTATTTTAGTGGATAGGCCATCCAAAGGTCAGAAAGTTCAGGGTCAACACTTGAGGAAACGCAGTTCAAGGGACGACTTTTGGAGCAGTAGTGCTTGTGAGATGGAGAATAGTGCATTTCCTTCACAACGAAGTGTCTCATCAATTAGTACTTCAAATCAGGGCCTTGATGCTCACAGTAGTTCCAGCACCACAAACAACAACACTGAATTTGTAAACCATGGCAAGTGCATATTTCACTCCCTTTGCTTTCATTGGCTATCATGGGAATACTTTGCCAATAGTAACCTTTCTTGGGGATATCCAAGTCTCAGTATGTTAGTATTCCGCCAAATGCAAGAAATTAACATGTGATAGAGGATATAAAACCTAGAAATGATCTGTAGCTGTAGTTTCCTTGAAGTTCCATCAAAAAATAATGAAAGAAAAGAAGAATTATCTTTTTTATCGGATGTCCCCAAAGGGACAAAAGAAAAGAAGAATTATCGGGTAAATTTCATTGTCTCAGTTGGTTGGCTTAAAGTAGTCCCTGCAATTGCAATTTTCAGACATCGATATATTCATGATTGTCTACTTTGAAAATTTCATCAACACTTGATGCAGGACAAAACCAGATCTATGTACTGTTCATTCTTTTAGATTTCTCTTATTGTCCATGTAGATATCCATTGGAGAAAGCTTTGGAAGCAGGATGATATACTCTTTCATCTCAGCTTATCAGTATTGTACTGCTCTCCACGTGTTTTAATATGCTTAATCGAACATTGTCTGGATCAGGTTTAATTCTTTGGAGTAAAACTAGGCAAGAATGGATTGGAAATAGAACACCTCAGAAGCATACTCCAGCTCGGGAATCTAAACTAAGGTGAGCATCTTCCCGTTTCACAATCCTCAAAATAATTGAGTGAATGAGTAGGTTTGACAGCTGCTGGTTTCAGAGTATTTACTTCCCATACAAGTGTGAATATATACTTGATGAGTGTATTCTTCTACCATCATAAATTGCAGCTTTGATGCAAGTTACGAAACTTTGCTGGGGACCAACAAGCCTTTTCCTCAGTCAATCCCTCTATCGGTGAGTCTTGCTGAACTACTAGCATGATTTTGGCATGTAGATGTTTCATGGCTACTTTGTTGAATCTATACATTTAAAATTTTCAGGAAATGGTAGACTTTCTTGTTGATGTTTGGGAACAGGAAGGACTGTATGATTGAGCCGTGGGACTTAACTGATCTTACCCAACCATAGCATTTTCTGTTTGTAAAGTCTACAGAAACCAGATGGATGAAAACAATTATGTTGGATCTCAGGATTTGTATGTTGACAAGAGGAAAATTGGAATGTTTTTTCAAATGAAGGAGAGAGGACCCTTGCTTATTTTGCTGATAAACGAATTTATTTTCAAGAAAAGTGATATTCAACCATCCAAATAAACTCCTTGTTTCCAGATGATTTCTTTACACACTAGTACTGCTCAAGTTTCTTTGTGAGGATATGAGCATGCCACATTCAATAGTTTCGACTGTTGCAACGAGTCCTAGTGATTTTACACAATTTTATTTCCATCTACTTTGTGAAATTTTCTTTCTTAAAAAAAACTTAAATTTGGATTATTGTTATAAAATTAAGTTCAGACCAATATATCTATAAAGAAAAGAAGACAAGATATATAGACGTAGGATAGAACTTTTCTTCTAGTCAAGTGTATCTTACAATGGTGAGTAGGGGTGTTCACAGTTTGGATAAAAATCGATTCAAATCGAAAAACCAAACTAAACTGATAAAATAAAACCGATTTTATTTGGGTTTGGTTTGGTTTGGTTTTAGATTTTTGAAAACCGATAGTCTTTGGTTTGGTTATGGTTTTATTCGGAAAAAACCGAAGAAATAACCAAACTGAACCGATGAATTATATAAATATATTTTATTAATATACATACTTAATATATTATTTTTATAAACAATTTTAAAGATCTTATACATATTTTCATTAAAATTTCTTTATAATTTACTTATTGAAAGCAAAAATGCCCAAGATGAAACATTTATCTTATTGATTTCATGTATATGAGTGTCTATATCAATTCTTTGTGGGACTGAAAATGTTATTGTCTCTTCCTTCTAGGCCAATATAGTGAATTTTAAAGCTTTATTGATAGTAAATTTAGTAATTGAAATGTCATTGTCTCTTCCTTCTATGCCAAAATAGTGAATTTTGAAGTTTTATTCAGTAAATTCAATGATCGAAAGTTCTGTAATGCCACTCATTCTAACTATTTTTTTGTTTGAATGGATTGTTGTCACTTTTTTCACATTTTAAATGAATTGTTTCTTTTATTTTTGTGTATGGTTAATAACCGAATAATCGAACCAAACCAAACCGATAAATGTATATTATATTTGGTTTGGTTTGGTTTTGATAATTTTAAAACCGATTAAATTGGTTTGGTTTTGATTTTGACCAATAACCGATCCAAACCAACCCGTGAACACCCCTAATGGTGAGTGATATCTCTATTTATAGATTGAGATATCACTTCAAAGGTCACCATGTTCAATCTCCAGACTAATAGATACATTGTTATTTAAAAAGGTTCATATCACTTGGGGAATATACATACATGAATTGTCCAAATAAGTAGATACATTATTATCCAAAAAAAAGTTTATATGGGTATCTCCAACCCTATCCTCTGTTTTACTTTCCAAATATAGAGTTCTCTATATTTCCAGACAACCAATTTCAATCCAATTTTCTATTTTACTCTCTAAAAAGGAATATTTTTCTCTCTCCTCAATATTATATTATTATTTCTATTTCATTCTTATTTTCTTATTTCATAATATAAATCATTTCTTCTTTTACAAATAATCACTCTATAATCTTTATGTAATACAAAATTATTATTTCTTTCAAAATTTTCATTTAATATAAAATTATATTTTATTCTAAATTTCTAAATAACATAAATTGCAATAAATATTATATATAATACATATTAACGAATAATTCAAATAAAAGTGAAATCATTGATGAAAAATAATTGCATCATAAATATTGTATTATCGTAAAATTTAAATTTTTTACATAAATACTCAACTTTTACTCTCATAAATGTTCTATTAATGTATTACGGAGTTCAAAATGAGCATTTTTTGTCCTTATTTTTTATGTGTAGCTAAAAATTGTTTAAATTAACAATTTCATCTTGTATCCAATTATTTTGTATACTAATTTACTTCCCCTATTCCATTTTGAACTACTGCATCAAATATTTTCATACTCTTTAAAAAGTGTAGTCTAATAATTTATCACTATGACATAAAAGTAGATTGTTTGAATTATCATGTAAATTTTGTGCATACTTCATCAAGAAAAATAATTATAATCTAAATTACATATTTAAAATGACAAAAAAAATTTAATAAATTAAATTAGAAGAAATGTTAATTTGGGATGAAAGTAGTATACATATCAATAATATATTTTAGATGTTATATTATTTAGAAAATAGTTACAAATATTATAAACTTAATTAATAATCTTATATAATATAAATAAAATTAAAATAAATTTAAATTACATATTTAAAGTGACCATTTCTTTTAAAAAATAAAATAGAAAATTATTAATTTGGACGGAAGTAGTAACTTGTTAATAATATATTTTTAAATGTTATATTACATTAGAAAATGATTACAAATGATAAAGACTCAATTAGTAATATAATAGAAATAATATTATATAATCAAAAAGTAAAATAGAGAGGTGAATAGTACTTCTCCAAATTTGGAGAACTACTATTCACCTCTCTATAATTAAAGAATAGAGAGTGAAGTAGAGAGTGGTTGGAGAATGATTTACTCTCCAAATATAGAGAATAGAGAATAAAATAGAGATGGGTTGTAGATGATTTTAGGAATATACATACATGAATGTAAATAGTAGTTCATAAACAAATTGAATTGACAATCTACTAGTATAACAATTATAAAATATTAGTTCCTATGTTAAATTTGATGTAACACTTATTTTTATAATATAGTATGTTCTAAAATAATGTTTTTTATATTTAAAAATATTAAATTATTCATTACCTTAATCATAATTATATAGACATTGTCATAATCCAAACTATGGGACCATTTGGACAGCTACTCTAATTTAGTTAGATAGGCAAAACCCTAATATCCATAACTTAGGCAAATTCGATGGGATTTTCTTGCTAAAGCACCTGGTGTCTAATTGGAAGGGTGACTTTCCCATTTAGTAGAAAATTATTTAAATCTTAAACACCTCCATGACAAGGTAAAAAAAAAGAAAAAAAAAGATTTTTTTTTGAGAAGTTAACAAAATAGCAACATTTTTCAAGGACCTAGTTTAGACAGGTACAAGAACATTTTGATGGAGTAGAATCTGAATTAAAATAAATTATAAAAAAGACCGACATAACTTCTACTTGAGTACAGAGTAGACGGAAGCTGATGATGAGTAACCATCATTCCACGCTTCAAACAACCTAAAAAAACCTACACTACTAAAAGATGTAGTAAAAGTAGTATCAATACACCACACGTACCGAGTAGGCATCATAGTCGATCTGGATTAGTTCCACATAAAATATCACAAAATCAATAAAAACAACAATACAATTATATCACAAATAATACTTTTCTATATGTATAAATTATAGGAACCACATATTATAAGTACTAAATAACATCCTATCCCTTCTAGTTTTCTATTTACCAAAAATCCCTTAAAAATGATGCTTGCGGGATACATAGCGTTGTGCACGGGATACATTAGGTTTGATACATTCCACATAGCGGGATACATAGCGTTGTGCACGGGATACATTAGGTTTGATACATTCCACATAGCGGGATACATAGCGTTGTGCACGGGATACATTAGGTTTGATACATTCCACATAGCGGGATACATAGCGTTGTGCACGGGATACATTAGGTTTGATACATTCCACATAGCGGGATACATAGCGTTGTGCACGGGATACATTAGGTTTGATACATTCCACATAGCGGGATACATAGCGTTGTGCACGGGATACATTAGGTTTGATACATTCCACATAGCGGGATACATAGCGTTGTGCACGGGATACATTAGGTTTGATACATTCCACATAGCGGGATACATAGCGTTGTGCACGGGATACATGCGGGATACATAAGGGATTTTTGAAAATTTTGAAATAAGTAGGGATAAATGGATATTAAGGTAAATAAAGGAGTGTAGTTAAGTAATTTGTCCTTTCTATATTCCTTATTACTCTGCTACTTTAGTCACTCACATAAGGTTATAATTTCATTATTAAATTCTTAGCACACTTTCTACCCTGGTCACTAACATAAATCCACACACGTAACTTACATAGAAGTCATCACATAATTAAGTCGAGCTTCATTATTATAATCAATTTCTACCACTCAGTCTCTTAACATTTCTATTATCAAGTTAATCATCATAAAAAAATGTCACTTATTAGTAAACTTCTCTTACAGTTACTACAACACCACACTATGTTCACCAAAGGCTCAACTTAATTAATAATACCACTATACATAATCATTACTACCAACCCAAAATACTCAAGACTAGCATCCTAGCTTTGAAATAAACATAATAATTTTTCACACGAAACTAACTTTTCCTATTATCACATGTAACATCAATTAATAAGAGGTAGTATGTCACGATCCAGGGGTACCTCCTAGATGTAACATGGCGTATAGAACCCCGAAGGACTCCATACAAGCCACTTAATCCTCATAACATAAGAATAATAGAATTTAGCAAAAATTTAACACATTTTCAATAACAATCAAAGTCTTTATAAAACGAGCGAAAGTCTATTACACTTGTCTCAAACCATCTAAAACATGAATATCCTTGGGACACAGCCCATACAATAGTTCAAAACATAAAATGAAAGAACATAAGAGAAATGGTGGGTATATCCTCGAATGCTATGAGGACTCACCAATCTTCAATCCTTGCTTCTACTAAAATCCTAGCCACAGGGAGAAAAGTCGATATCGCCTACATTTGGATAAGAATGTAGGCAAGAGTATACGTTAGTACAAAAATGTACTAAATATGATAACTAGCATAGCATAACATAGGCATTAGTCAACATAAGACATATACCATAAGCATAAGAGATAACAACATAAATCATAAGCATAATCAATGCACATAGATCATCATAATGTAAGAGAAACACTTCTCAAGTAACCTCAACTTATCCTTGATTAGGACTTGGGTATCCACCTCTAGTCATACATGTCATGGAAGGCAACTCAAGCAACAATCCAAGCTAACCTATCATCATACAATCAAAATCTCATACTCACATATGCTTACAATGCATCTTCATAAAGTAACTTTGTTCCATCATAACTATGCTACTTTGGTTAGGGAC